CTCCTCTCCTTTCTGATCTTAGTCTATCAGTTCTCATCAAAAGTGGCTGCATTGTCATCTTCTGTGGCCTGGTAAGGCTGCTCCCCCCTCAGGGGGAGGTGATCAAAGAGCAGGTCAATCAGATCATGTCAGAGGCAGTTCCTCTTCCCATTACTATGTAACCCACTTGGACACTGAACTGCCATGGGCTACATCTCTGCAGGGGTTCTAGGTTATCTCCACGAATAGTCCTTGGTTGGAGTATGAGTCTCTGGGAAGTTCCCTGTGTTCAAATTATCTTGTTCTGTTGCTCTCCTTGTGGAGTTCCCGTCCCCTCCAGCTCTTACTATTTCCCACTTCTTACATAAAATTCCATTCACTCTGCCCATCAGTTGGCCATCAGGCTCAGCATCTGCTTTGACAGTCTATACTGCAGAGGCTTTCAGAGGCCCTCTGTAGCAGGTTCTGAGGATGTTTCCTATTTTCTTTTTCTTCTGATGTCCATCCTCTTTGCCTTTCAGGATGGGGATTGAACATTTTAGTTAGGGTCCTCTCTTTTGCTTAGTTTGTTTAGATGTACAGATTTTAGTGGGTTTATTCTATGTTGTATGTTTATATGAGTGAGTATATACCATGTGTGTCTTTTTGCTTCTGGGACAGCTCACTCAGGATGATCCTTTCCAGGTCCCACCATTTACCTGCAAATTTCATGATTTCCTTATTTTTCATTGCTGAGTAATACTCCATTGTATAGATGTACCACAGTTTCTGCATCCATTCTTCAGTTGAGGGGCATCTGGGCTGTTTCCAGCTTCTGGCTATTACAAATAAAGCTGCTACAAACATGGTTGAGCAAATGTCCTTTTTGTGTACTTGAGCTTCTTTTGGGTATATGCCTAGGAGTGGTATGGCTGGATCTTGAGGAAGCGCTATTCCTAGTTGTCTGAGAAAGCGCCAGATTGATTTCCAGAGTGGTTGTACAAGTTTACATTCCCACCAACAGTGGAGAAGGGTTCCCCTTTCTCCACAACCTCTCCAGCATGTGTTGTCCCTTGAGTTTTTCATCTTGGCCATTCTGATGGGTGTAAGGTGAAATCTCAGGGTTGTTTTGATTTGCATTTCCCTAATGGCTAATGAGGTTGAGCATTTCTTTAAGTGCTTCTCTGCCATTCGATATTCCTCTACAGAGAATTCTCTCTTTAGCTCTGTTCCCCATTTTTTCTTAAAGCAGCAACAATTAACTGTCTATTGTTCCTTAAGGAGAAGGTGGTGCACCATACTTTAGAGTGGAAATGATCCCCATTATTTCTAGCCTTAGTGTACATCATATGCCATTTCAACTTCTTTGAACTTTAACCACATTCATGCCTCCAAAATTATATATTCAAAACTCCATATACCATTTAGAAATGTCATTTGTTGAAACTAATCTAATAAAAACAGTTAAAGATTTCAGAATTAAAATACATAAAATATGCAGCCAATAAGACATTTGTCACACAAGACCGGTGGTATGACTTCAACCCAGAAAACCAACATAGATCATGATTTTCTGACCTAGCCAAGTCAGTGAGCAGTGGTCCCAGTGGGAAACCATTTCTCACTGTCTCTGACATGAACTCAGTGACAGGCTCTCTCATCACTTCCCCCTGAGAGGGGAGCAACCTTACCAGGTCATCACGGAGGAAGACAATACAGCCAGGCCTGATAAAACCCCATAGGCTAGGGTCAGATAGAAGGGGAGGACGACCTCCCCTATCATGGGACTGAGAGAGGAAGAAAAGAAAGATGGCTGATGGGACTGGGAGGAGACAAGGCAGGGGGCCAATTCCAGGATACAAAGTGAATAAATGGTAATAAATAATAAATAAAAATTTAAGAAAAACAACAAACAAAGAGAACAATTTCTAGAGAACACACAAACTGGGCTCTGGACTCCATGTTCATGCATATATATATATATATACATGTAGACATAAACACACACACACATAGGAAGGCATAGACACACTTCTGCATGAACACACTAATTTAGCATGGACACATGCACACACACACAAAAGTTCTGATAGTGATAATTGTAAAATGCCAAGAAAAACAGTTGATTGCAGTCTCGTTTTACTGGAAATTGCACAGAGAAAACCCTTTAAAACAGGAATGGTGGTTTACTCTTGTGACTCTAGCACTTGGAAGTCTGAAGCAGAACTGACTTGTAGGAGAATTGTCATGAGTTTAAGGTCAACTTGGGCTAAAAAATGATGCTACAAACTGAGACTCTCTGTCAGAAAACAGTCAAAGGGGAAAAAACAACAACAACAAAACTCAAAATAGTGACATTTTAAAAATGAGACTTTTCTTTTTGGTAAGGATTGGGGAAACAAGAAGACAAGGAAACAGCTAGTAACTATGCAGATTTAAAAAAATCTTATAAAAAGTAGAGTTGGAAATAGTGTAGCTATTCATGGTGGCAGGATGAACTGTTATGGGTTTATTTTCTATCTAAACTAATCACTTTAATTATTTTTTTTCCAAAATTTTAATCACATTCAAGCAATTATATCATATCATTCATGTGATAATATAGTCTATATCAAAAAGACGGTCATTTAATATATTAGTCCAAAACATTTATGAAAGAATAGAGTGTACCTCAAACAATACTGTATTTATTTTTAAAAATACTTCAAAACTGATATTTGTCATGAGTTAAATGTTTCTGCAGCAAGATTACATAATCATTGTTTTATTCTTCATGTGTGAATCATGAATACTCTGTTGAATGCCCTCCTTGTGGAAGAAAATTTAGAAAGTAATGGATAGATTCTGTAATGCTGCGTAAACATTCTTAGTAGTCCTGAGAGCTGCATTCTTAGAGTTTTAACAACTTATCAATAAGTGAATTGAATTTCTGAAGACTGAAGAAAGATAAGAGAACTGAAAAAGAAGATAGTGTGCTAATTACCTCAGAGAGTTTGAAAAGTGTCATGGTCATGTCTTTTGGGAGAATCTCCTAAAAGGAGATAGTGGGCATGGCTGACTCTGTAAAGAAAGGATCTTGCTATCTATTGCCGGGGAGCATGGCAATCAAGAGGCAGGCAGTCATCCAGAACCAGCCTGGAGTTCTCATTCAATTCCTTCATAGAGAGGCCGTATTTTCACTACCAGAAATGAATCACTGAGTGGCGCTTTCTCCTCCTTTTCTATACCAGACTGCAGGGGATTATTTTTTGGTATGCACTAACCTTTAACACATACATCATAAAAGACAAATAATGGAAGGCTCATAAAATGTTCTGACCTTGGTTTTTAGAAGGGGAACATCAGATTTAATGATTCTTTAACAAGAAGCTCACAGTATTTTAGCTTGTTCAGATTTTCACTTTAAATCATTACACTTTATTTATTTTACATTTTAGCTCTACATGGAAGAGTACACTATAAATACAATCTTTTCACTATCATGTGAATTTTAATATTTTAGTTTTGAGTTAATCAGTTCTAATAGCCTCCTAAGTCATTGCTAACCAATATTCCCTACTGATTTACTCTCATTCATTTATGCTTCTCCATTCATACTTACTCTCATACCTTGAGTCAACAACTCTACTATTAAAAGTGAAGGAACTAAATGTGTAGTTTAAGAACAACCTCATCTTAGTGAACTAGATTTGTCTCTTTCCTTCTTTTTTTCTTGTTTATTCCTCAAAAAGAATGAAAAGTTTAAAAAATTTCTCTTTGATTGGTCAGTGTTCATGTTAAGGTGCATGTAAGGTGTATTTCATAAAATGCTATTTAAAGTTTTGGAAGAGGGCACTAATCAGTTTCTGGAGAAAAAAAAAACAACTTCCTTATCTTCTTGGGAGCTTACAAGTGCTTCATCAAGAGAAGACTACAGAGTCTTTTATAGGCTGTTTTTTTTTGTTGTTGTTGTTGTTCCATCAGACATCTATAGAGGATGCCAGTTGGGGCCCTCCTTCCCAAAAGGAGCAATGAGATGAGGACACTGTGAAGTATTGTCGAAGCAGATCAGTAGAGGGCACAGTGTTGTCAGAGCACATGCTATGTGAGAACACCACAGAGTGCTGGGAGACCATACAGGAGGACCTAGCATGTGCATATCGAAAGAACTCTTCCTCTGAGCACTGCATGCAAGTTTTGTGTGAGAGCACCACATTGTGCTTGGGGGAGTACTGCATGAGAGGACCTCGTGAGAACACCTTGTCTAAGCACTGCTTGACAACTTCATGGGACACCACTCTGTGAGGGCCTCACATGAGGGCGTAAAGTAAACATTTACAGTTCCTCAAGAAGGCTCCAAATGAAAGGTGCCTCTGATTTCAAGCAGACACTGTGTTCAGAACTTTCAACAAGATTTTTTTCACCCGATTCTTTCCGTATGTGTGTACACTTTATTTACTCTTGAAATCCTGCTTCTCAAATCTCTAAACAACTAAACATTTTATCATCATCCATAATGTAAAATGTTGAGAGTACATGAGATTACATGATGCTGAAAATTTTCATTGAAAGTGCATGTTATGTGTAAATAAGATAGTTCTCAACTGAAATCCCATCTTCTTTGGAGGTACAAGTAGGCGTTGGTACAACTTGTGGGAAATCTGATCTACATAGTCAGGTTTAAGCCACACAGAACTACATTGTGAAATGCCATCTCAAAGAAATAAATACATAAGTAAATTAATAAGCTGTGATTAATGGCAAATAAATAGCTATCTTGAAAGGTATACTATTTACCCTCTAGAGAAATTTGAAAGATAATGGTGGCAACAGTTATTTCAGAACATATAACACAACAAAAAATATTATTTGCCCCAGCTATGACAATAACCAGATTGAAAAGACAAACCCCAGATAGCCCAGACAGATTGGGAGTAGGTGAAGAGAGCTCCAAGCTGAATGCTGTTCTGGACCTCCATAGGCCTCCAGGGGCTGGCTGACAATGGGGGTTGGGGTCCCCTTACAGCTCACCTCTTCTGGATCTGCTGGCTGTACCCAAGGTAGGCCAGCAGATCTGGAGTCATATACTAAAATTGGAATGATACAGAGAAGATTTTCATGGCCTTAGGGGAAGGATAACACTCAAATTCAAGAAGTGTTCCATATTTTTAAACTGTACAGATATTAACATGATGGCTTTGTACTGTGGAATGTACTTACTAAAAACAAGAGTTTGAGTTTTGTTCAACAAATGGTTAAATAATGTCAATAAATCCAGATGAGTATTTATGCACAAAAAGAAAAGGAAAAACACCCCTTGGATGTAATAGTGGCACAAATCTTATAGGCATAACCAATCACTTTCTGTTTGGTTTTGAGGCCTGTTTCTACAGGTGAAAGTTCATGATCATACTGTGCTGTGAACATGGTTGACCAACAGCCCACGGCTGCAGAGTTCACAGGTTCTAGGGGGTGAACCTACTACTATTATTATTTTTCTAAATGCATAGAATATCAAACTACATTCTAAATATATACCTGAACTCACAGGTAATATGCAGAAGTTAGTGCATTTCTCAGTCATTGTCAGAGAAGAGATTTGTGCAGAGTATGACAGTTAATACAAAGGCACCTAACAGCTCATAATGTAGTAACAGCATCTGTATAATGATCAGTTCAAAATAGGTCATCTATATCAAACCCTTTATTTCCAATGACTAGACAAAAAACATGTAAGAGTGAAGACTGAGGTGCCCTGGAGCATAACAGTGTCTTCTAAATATGACAGGAACGTTTAATTCATGGATTCCTGTATTCACAGCAGCTATGCTTGACTACACAAGACCAGGACAAAACCACAGAAGTTGACAGTACAGTATAGACTGTGAATGGATACAAGACCTGTCATCCCCTGCTGAGCATTTATTGCAGGTGATGACTGGCAGAGGAGTGGGAGTCACTATTCTTAGGGATTTGGTCTTGGGAAGGTTGATGATGTCACATACTTGAGCAATGCAATTCCCATCAAAATACTAACACAATCTCTCTAGACCTTGAAATAACAATTCTCAACTTCATATGGAAAAACAAAACAGTCAGAATAGTTTAAAAAATCATGTAAAATAAGAGAACTACTAGTGGTATTTCCATCCCTGATCTCAAGCAGTACTGTAGAGCAACAGTAATAGAAAATGGCATGGTTCTGTCATAGAAACAAGCTAGAAAATCACTGGAATTAAATCAAAGACCCAGAAATAAACTCACACACCTATGGAAGCCTTATTTTTGACAAAGAAGCCAAAAACATACAATGGGAAAAATAGCATCTTCAACAAATGGAGCTGGACTAACTGGAAGTCTACATATAGGAAAATGGAAACAGATCCATATTTTTCACCTTGCACAAAACCAAAGTCCAAGTGGATCAAGGACCTCAACATAAAACCAGACAAACTAAATCTATTAGAAGAAATAGTGGGGAAGAGCCTTGAACTAATTGGCACAGGAAAAAACTTCCTGAACAGAACAAGAGCCTGAGTGTACAAAAGTAAACAAAAGTGTAACACTGAATGTTTACTTTATATGAAAGCAAATTGTTTTCCAGTAAGTGTCCTATTTCTCACTTTCATTAGCAATAAAAATTTCAATTCAGCCTCAGTTTGAATCATTAAATGTATCAATTGATTATCTTCACTTTTTATTCTTATACATAAATCACACATATATAAACACACACAATTTTTTTCTTTAAATTAGCTTTTACATATAAACACATTTGTAATTATTACATGCAATTAATGAACATGAAGAAAAATACAACAGACATTATTCATAATATCAAAAGTATTGGTACTTTCTGATATAATGTGACCAAATGGAATATATTCACTTAGTGAATTCAACTATGTATTTAGACACTCTATAACATATTGTTACTTAAAATTTGACCCCTGGCACATAATATCTTCATTTTACTGCACAGTTTTCTCCTTTTTTCCCCACACTATTATTTTCTAGTTTCATTAATTGCAGTCAACAAAAGTCCATAAATATTAAATGTTAAATTTAGATAAATTATTTGTAAATTTTCAATTTTATGTCTTCATGTGAAGCCATCTCATTATATCAATGCAATTTTGCCTGTAATGTGACTCATATATTTTATCACAGTTTTTATCTTGCTTATGCTATTGATGTTATATCTTCATAGCTTGATATTCCAAGGTCATTGTTGAATTTCATCAAGAAGTCAATAGCAATGGAATGCTACACCTGTTTAACAGTCTGTATGATGGATGCCACTTCATTGTATCTGCATGGATCATATCATATATTGAAATTATTGGAGTACAAACAAGTATTGAGAGACAAAATTTATACAATTATTAGCACAGAAAAATGTTATAATTATTTTATTTGTGTGTCGGGTGTGTGTGTACGCATTATACAGACATATAGTGACTTTCAGGTTTCCAGGGAAGATCTTGATTTATTTTTTTCTGCCTTGTCCAACAAGATATTGAACTCAGTACATCATGTTCTCCACTATTCAGCCTTTTCCACAGTGTACTATTGAAATTAAAGATGGTACCCTTTTGTTGATAAATACGTAGAGAAAGTTTAGCATATATACAAATAGAGGAATATTCTTAGTAATAAGAACAAAGCCCAAGCCATTTTAGGAAACAATTATCAAATAATCAAATTCCACATATTTTATACATGTCTGTAAGTTACAAGTGTTAATTTGAGATTTTTTTATTAAAACAGGATTGCCAGAAGTTAGGAGAAGAAATTGGGCAAGAATTGTTGGTGGATTAAAAATAAAATAGATAAAAGGATAACATTCTAATGTTCTATAGCACAGTTGGGTGACTAAAGCTAAGAATTTATTTGATATTTCACAATAGCCTACAGAAATGTAAAAAGCTTCTACCTCACAAGGTAATGGATATGCTAATAGGAACAACTTGATCATTAAATATTCTATTTATGTATCAAAATATCACATTAAATTTTATAAATATGACAATTATGTGTCAATTAAAGTGAAAGCACTGCCCATAATGAAATATTTAATTGAGAGTTAGCAGGAACATTTTCTAAGATAATGCACTAGTTAAGAAATTAATCAATGGCTGTAATTAAGTATACATGACTATTTTAACTTTATGAAATGTTAAGATGTACAGCAATACTTTAATGAACTACAGAGATACATTTTTTGTATTACAATTTGAAGCTTGAAGAGTTAGGGATGAGATGTTTGAAGCTCTCAGGTTTTGAAACTTAAGGGGAAATGGTGAAAAACATCTGCTGGATTTCTAAGAATAGGCAAATTATGTCAAAGAAAGATGGAGAAAGTAATCAAAGGCAACTCTCAAGCCTACAAATAACACAACTCTAGGAATGAGATTGCCTGAGAATCTCCTGTCACACCATGATGAGTCCTAGGCATGTAATGTGGGGCTATGAGTTTTAAGGCTAGTTGTAACACTTTGCTTTCCCCTTTGGTCCTATGTTTTATTTTCCTATGACCCTACTCCTCTCTCACTTTAGAATGCAATGCTAACTTTGTGACACTGAATCTTGGAAGCATGTAAATTTGTATAATTATGCAGAGGACCATACCTACCAGTGTGTTTGATTCCTAGATGATGTTTTGAGTTTGGGATATTAAGCATGACTAACACTGTGCAGAATTCAGAGAACCAGAGGAACAGGCTAAATATACTTTACATTGTGATACATTTTTGAGTTCTTAGCAGTCAATGTGTGAATATTATGGATAAAGTAGGAAATGTCACTTTCATTTTCCTGCGTTGATGACTTTGGCCTCACCTTACTGTACTACTTGTTATAGGAAATCAGATTTTTGTTTTGCAGTACCTTTAAAGGTTAAATTTCATCTCTGTTCCTTTCCTTATTCTTTTGCTATGAAAGACATGATGAAACAGAAACACTGCCTAATCAACCAAAGAGTCACAGTGATAGTACCTAAAACTAAAATTCTGAACCCACTAAAATAAATCTCTCTTAATTTAAGTTGATATCTAGGATATTTGTCACATCACTGAAAAACATTAACAAATACAAGAAAAAATGTATTATTTTACTCTCATGAAGCTCATGAGTGTGGATCTTTTCAACATATATAATATTCAATGTAGAATTTAATCAGTTGTTTTCCTTGAGATTTTTATTCATTTAAGATTAAGTGAGGAATGTATAATTATGCTGGAATACTATTAGGCTTCTGAGAGGGAGAAACTGGGTATATTGGCTTCCTAGATTGCTGAAAGTCATTGATGTAGAATTGAGCCTTTGACCTTATAATTCAGTCTAATGAATCTCTCATTACTAATGGATAATATTGACTATACAATTCTTGATTTTTAAACTATACATATATATAGTACTAAAGCAAATTTCCCTGTGAAATTTTTGTTATAGATTGTACCTCTTCACCAAAAATATTTTGCTCTTTTGTTTATTAAAAGTCTTTTAAAGCTTCTGTAAAGCAAAGGACACCATCATCAAAACAAAGCGACTGCCTACAGATTAGGAAAGAATCTTCACCAACCCTTTTCTGACAGAGGACTCATATCCAGTATTTATAAAGAACTAAAAAAGCTGAAAAGCAGCAAACCAAGTAATCCAATTAAAAAATGGGGAACAGAGCTAAACAGAGAACTCTCTGTATAGGAATATAAAATGGCAGAGACACACTTAAAGAAATGCTCAACATCATTAGCCATTAGGGAAATGCAAATCAAAACGACCCTGAGATTTCACCTTACACCCATCAGAATGGCCAAGATGAAAAACTCAAGTGACAACACATGCTGGAGAGGTTGTGGAGAAAGGGGAACCCTCCTCCACTGCTGGTGGGAATGTAAACTTGTACAACCACTCTGGAAATCAATCTGGCACTTTCTCAGACAACTAGGAATAGTGCTTCCTTAAGATCCAGCCATACAGAACAAGAAAATTTGAACACAGGGAACTTCCCAGAGACTCATACTCCAACCAAGGATATCTGTGGAGATAACCTAGAACCCTGAGAATGCAGCCACTTCTGATGAGAACTGATAGACTAAGATCAGAAAGGAGGAGAGCAGGACCTCCCCTATCAGTAGACTTAGGGAGGGGCATGCATGCAGAAAGACA